TTGGAACAAAACCAACAACTTCAACAGGAGAGACTTCTCAAGGGAACCTTTTTGGAACAAAACCAACAACTTCAACAGGAGGGACTTCTCAAGGGGGCTTTTTTGGAGCCCAAACATCAGATTCACAAGATGGCCTTTTTGGAACAACAACAACTTCACCAGGAGGGACTTCTCAAGGGGGCCTTTTTGGATCATCACAAGCTTCTCAAGGAGGAGGACTTTTTGGTGTTTCAACAACATCCCAAAGCGGAACAGGACAGTTTGGATCGCCTTCCTCCTCTTCCTCATCGGCATTTGGTCAACCCACTTTTGGTCAACCTGCTTTTGGTCAGTCTACAAGTACTGTTACTTCACCAACTTCATCTGCTTTTGGCCAGTCTGCATTTTCGAAACCTCAAGAAACGACCTCAACTGGTAAGAAAGTCTTACTTAGTTAACTATTTCCTTTATTTAAATGAGGCTAGACTTGAAACAATAATAATAATACAGATAAAATGAATCACTTATGAAAAAAGTTTAAGCAGTAGGTCGAGAGAACTCCCCTGAACAAAAAAGGTGCCTGCGATTCAAACTCCCTCATATTGAGTGCCTCAAGGCTTTCCTGGTCTTGTTACTGAGATAACACGTGACACCTCGGGATGAATGTAGCTTGCTGCAATTACAATTTTCTTTATCTATATTATTCCCTGGTTTTTTGTTGTTGTTTTTTTTCACCTTGATATCAAATCTTTGTTCCCTTTCCGTGTTATTCCATGTCTTTTGTGTGTTTCTGGTTTAGAAGTACCAAAAATATAAAAATAATACTTGCCTTGTTGTTTTAAACTAGGAACTGGAATAAGTTTTGGTGGTTTTGGACTTGGGGGTCAACCAAGTCAACAGGCTATCAAAAATCCTTTCCTTGCCTCTGCAACATCCAGTCCTTCTGCTGGTAAATATATATATTTTTCATGTTGTTTGACAAGTCTCCTTGGAATTGATAATCTTCCTTCTGCTCTCCATCCTGCTTCCTTTAATTTTTTCCTTCTCTTTACTTTCCTTTTACTTTCTTATTCTCTTCTTTCTCTTCCCTTTCTTTCCCACTCTTTTCACTTTCTTCCACTTTGTCTTTTCGCTCCTTTTTCTCCATTTCAGTTCACTTGCTCAATCATTTTTAATTTCCATTATCTCCTTTCTATAGGCACTTCATTGTTTGGTGCAAACACCTCTACTGGCTTCAAGGTGATGTCTGAGTTAGCCAAATATAAACTGTCTTAGGAATATGATTATAAAGCTTAAATTTGTTTTTCTCTATTCCTTCAGCCGACTTTTGGCAGTGGAACTCCATCATCGTTTAGTCCCCAGTCTTCTGGTGGTTTCGGCGGTGGATCGTTTACCAAAGGGACTGGGAATGTAGCATCGTCAGGATTCTCTGTGGGAGGGGGAGGTACGTGTTGGTCATCATAATTACATAGATTCCATCGTACTTTGTTAAGGGTTCATTAAGGGTAAGGTTTCATTTCTTATTAAAATGAGGTATTCGTGGTCTGTGTCATAAGGAAAGTTCAAGGGCTGTGGTGTAATGAGGGTCCATCGGCTGTAATGTAATAAGGGTCCATTGGCTGTAGTGTAATGAAGGTCCATGGGCTTTGGTGTAATAAGGTTACATGGGCAGTGATGTAATGAAGGTCCGAGGCCTCTTGTGTAATGAGGTCCATGGACTCTGGCATAATGAGGTTCATGGGCTGTGTTATAATAACATGGCTCCTATTAATGAAAGACCATCGGACCAATATTCATAAAGTTCTTATTTTCTCAGGTTCCCCAGGGTTTGGTGGCTCGCCTTCCTTCGGTAGTGCTCCAGTCTTTGGATCGTCACAATCATTTGGCTCGTCTGCACCTGCTTTTGGCTCAGCTCCAGTTTTTGGCAGCTCGCCACAGTTAGGAATGGCAACGGCTGGAGGGTTAGTAGCAAAATCAAGCTTCAATACATCATCTCATATATATTTACACGTTCAAGCCGTTCAAAGTTGATGCCACAATCTACAAAAATCAGTAGTCCTTTTCACAGTTCCCTGCGCCATCTTGAAAGGTAGCCATGCCTTTGCATCGAAGCGAGACGAACGGTGAGTTTGCAATGATGGAGACATTTTTAACACCTTGGACAATTATTCACACTTGTCTCTATCATTGCAAGCTCACCGTTCGTCTCGCTTCGATGCAAAGGCATGGCTACCTTTCAAGATGGCGACAATGGGGACTAAGGGGACTATTAGCGAGTCCGAGGTTAAAGAAATAACTGGATCGAGTTGACATCGCAGTGTATTTTATGTCTAATTTAAGGGACAAAATAGCCATCTTGGAAATATCTCCCCTAAAACAGCATCTATTATTCCTACATAATACAGTATATCGACACACGCCAACAGGAAGCTTGTAATCTAATGCTCAATTATTTGTTTTTATAATAGTTTTGGAAGCAGCACCGGAAGTGGTAGCTTTGGAAAGTAAGTTTTCAATGTTAGATAGATAAACTTTAGTTTAGCAGAGTAACCCATTCAGCAACTAGGCTGGTATCTAGAGGGGCCCAGAATGTTTAAGTTGTTTTTGGTTTTCATTATTTTAATCACTAACAGTGAGGACGAGAACGAAATTTCTGGGCAACAAAAGGGTATTCACGCTTACGTTACTGTTTCCCAGGAACCTTGATATTCCCAAAATTCGTTTGAGTAACCATGAACACATCAAAAATCTCGCTTTAAATTTCGTAAATACGAATTACTTTTTTCTCTATTTCTCGTGCCTTCAAGCATACAGTTCTTGGTGTGTTTCCCTTGTTATAAAAATAAAAGGACAAAAGATGTGGGCCGCAATGTTGGATGACATAAGAGAAAACAAAACGAGTCCAGCACCCAACATGGCGGCTATGACGTCACATGTTCAAGGACAAAAGACGTGACCGCCATGTTGGATGACATAAGACAAAACAGACGAACGTCGTTCTTTAAGCAACCAACATGGTGGCTATGACGTCACATGCACACCGAGTATTGATAGAAGATCGTGTTTTTCTCAGTGTTTCAGGTAGTCCTTTGTTTGGTGCTCTCGCTCATCAATCCGCAACTCCAAGCTTTGGCAACGTGGCGCAACAAGCACAGCAAGGACAGCCTGGTTTTGGAGGATTCGGTCAACAGTCCGCGGGATTTGGAGGGTTCGGCTCCCCTGGGGGAGGTCCAGGGGCAAGCCCTGCGTTCGGTGGAAGTCCGTGAGTATTTATTTCCTGATACTTGAGCTTGGGTTGATGATTTTTCCATTTCAGGCCACGTATCATTTCAGACCAAGTTTTAATTCCTTTGTTTAACGGTTGTGCGCGTGAAAACGCATATGGATGGAACCCAAACAAAGAATCTTATTCTCAAGAGAATGACACGTGGTCTGAAATGGGAAAACATTGCGACCAAGGTAAAGAGATCTATGAAACTTTTCAGCTTAGGTCAAGGTTTTCATTGAATGTCTGGCAAGATGTATAGGACTCTAAGGCACATGGGACGTGGTCTTTAATAGAAAGGAAACATTGCGCCTAAGTTGATTGAGTGTATAGCAAGATGCTCTTAGTACTCTATTCCAGAAAACTTACACGTTTTTTGGACTTCTCCATCAAATTTCATCAAACCTTGAAACAACCTATGGGCTGATCTAAGTCAGGGCACGGCTAACTCACAGATTGAATTGGAATTTAGCTTAGCTTTCGTAGAGAGAACACGGAGAGAACCCCTCGAATCAAGAGAGAGACCTTACAAACTCCTCTCACATGTGATGCTAAGTCACGGAATCAATCTCGAGACCCCAGAGGTGAGAAACGAGTGTCCTATTTTCGGCTTTTCCCCTCTGCAAATATCAACTCCTAAATTCCCATTTCATTACGAAACGAGGGCCACAGGTTCGTTAGCCACTGGCTATTAAATGCTAGGAAGATCTTTTATACCCTTAAAACAGAACACAGATGCAGAGAGAGGGTAAAAACTTTAATGAATTCTTGTTGTTTTCTTTTCTTTCAGTTCTCAATCCTTCAACCAATGGCGGTAACTACAATGATAACCATAAACCAATGCTAAACAAAAATATTTTATTTGCTTTTGTCAAGCCTGCCAACTAGGATATGAAATAAATATAGTTCTAGTCTTCGGAATTTACATTTTTTGTTTTCAATTTTTCTAATATTTTGAGGAATACTTTATGTACATTGCAGGTGTGGTAGGGATTGGGGGAGGGGGGTTGGGGGTTTGTGCGTGGAGAGGCAAAGTGGTTTTCAGTTATATTATAATTAAGGTACGAGTGATCAGAAAAAGAGAGGATTTTTTTTCTTAGAAGAAAATAAGGAACTATTTCTCTATATCCAGAGGTGGTTTTAAAAATCATGATGGACGCCATGTTGGATAGCAGCTAACCCAATGGGTTGTCATCCAACATGGCTGACCTCTCCATAAAGGGTTAATCTTCTTTTCTAACTGGAAACTGGAACATTTTGTAATAATATCGAAATAGAAAAAAAGCTTCGTAAATTTCCAGATCTGTGTATACATCTGTTAAGGCATTCCATAGTCATATTGTGTATTACAACTAAACCCTCCCGGCCTTTACTAAAACTAACCTCGCTACTAATCTCGCCACTTTCTAATATCTAAAACTGACTTAAACCAACTTAACCCACCCCACCCCTAATAACCAAAATTAAAAATCTACTCGAGTTAGTCACGGTATATTCTTAACGAGAAAAATTTTGTTTTTTTTAGATATATTTTTTGTTTAGGCGTAAGAAAACACAATCAATTAATATAATGGATCAACTATTTTACATCGCAAATTTTAGTAAACACTTGCCTTATTCCGAAATTGTTAATACAATTAACAATGAGAATTGAAACAAAAAAAAAAACAGAAAAAGCGTTTTGCCCATTTCTATTACAGTATTCTTGGTTTGAGTTTGATCTCGTCGAAAATAAAGATTAATACTCAAGAGAATGATATTCTGAAATGAGAAAACACTATGACAAGCTATTAGGGACTTTGCAAAATCTACGACGGCGTCAACCGGAAGTGTAAATAATTTCTCTTTGGGGTTCTGTTCATTGGAGATTTCATTCAAAACATTGTCAGTAAAGTCAACTCATCCTCAGGGAAGATAGACTCTGAAGACGCCAAACCCCAAAGCGAAGTAACTTACACTTCCGGTTGACGTCGCCGTCGCAGATTTTACAAATCTTAAAGTCCCTATTAAGAGTTCTGAAGTGACGTATCACGACGCCATGTTGGAGGGCAACAGCAAAGCAAGTTTTCCCATGACAAGAGAAAATTTGTATTGTTTAGCTCCACAACATGGCTTACTTCTCTTCATTTTTAACATATCTAATATAGATTATATTAATCATTAATTACCGTCATGGTAATAGTCCTATGAAGTATATATAGAAAGTGAACGTTTCTTGTGCCTTGAGCTTTGTAATGAACACGAGGCAGAATCCTTATGTTTTCCTGGATGCAAATATTACTAGTCGCCTCCGAAGACTTTCCGAAATATCCTTTAGCAATGACCTATTTCAAAAAGTCGTCGTATCATCCATCTATAATTGTCTTAGAGTTTGTTTTTGTTTTCGATCGAGAATCATGTTGTCGTTGAAGATGTGGTAGTTGATGTATTTACTCGTCGAGTCAGTGTTTCTGTTTGTATTACTGTAAATTCTAGTACTTTTGGTTTTGCCGGTTGCGGATATTTTTGTTCTGCTCCTCCGTTCCATGAATATGGAATAGTCTGGGTCAATCATGGAAATCTCAAACACCATCGTAGTCAAACTTAACACTGCAATCTTATAGAACTTTTATGAGTTCGCCAAAGAAGGTTCAATCTTGGGTACAAACGTTTTTTTTTTGTTCCCAAGCTATTCCACAATGCACCTTGTTTGGCATTCTCGAAAAAGCCCTATGTACTGTGTTTTTTTGGTCCATATTCTCACTCACTTTCGATTGAAATTAGATTGATTGGAAATCATGGTTCGGGACGTTTCCAACTCATACGACATCTCTTCTGTGAGTAACAGTTTTCATTGCATTATTCGACGGGTACCTCGTCCTTCTCTTCACCAATTTGCTTGATCTTACTGAATAACTCAGGCATGCATTGCCGGTAGGCCAGCCCAGATGCTTGCATTAACTGTTGATTCTGTGCCTGACTCCTGAGGTGAGCAGTCGTTAGTTTCTGCTCGATCTGCTCCCGCTTCCAATTCTTCTTTCTCTCTTCTTCAAATGCGGCTCTATCCTCTGGGGTTTCTGTTCTTGACTTTGGACTTTGTGGGGGAACAACAGCCACGGGTTTCTCTTGTGAATCTTGCTTGCCCGATGTTGTGTTTTTCTTTTCCTCTTCGTCTAATCCTCGAATAACCATCATTGATTTCGGCGGTAAATCTTTGAATCCTAGAGTGACATGACTTTGATTGAAGTTTCCTGTTGAATACCGGATGTGACGTCTGTCTTCAGAAACCACAGATTCATTCATGCTCATAGGTCTTGTCCTCTCATTCTTGGAAATAGTTATGGGGATGTTTTCTTTTTGATTAGCTTTGACGGCATCTGTGTTGCTCGAGGATATGATAAACGTTTTGTGTTGTTCTCTGTCCATTGTAGGTGGCTCGGGTGCTACGATGCTGATAGGTTTGTCGACAGGTTTCATCTTGGGTACGGGTTCTTTAGAGACAATATTCACAGGTTTTTGATTGGGATCTTTTTTCGATATGTAATGCGAACCATACACCGGCTTTGGAACCTGTGCTGCTTGGGACTGGAATCGTTTAATCCCATCATGAACTCCTATAACTGTTTCGCTCTCTTTCTCTGTCTCGTCGCTGTTTGAATTATCTTCGCGTGTTTGGGTATCTGTCGATTCACGTTGCTCCATTTCTTCCCGAAATGCAATATGTTGCTTCAGGCTTTGTGGTGTCTGTCTGAGATGAACTCTGTGAAAATCTGTCCGATTTTCTGTTTCTGGATTACTTATCTGTATCACATTCCTTTCTGCATCATTGGCTTGGTTTTTGGAGAAACCAAGAACGTAATGATCCTTAGGTCCGTCTGTTGTGTTGATGATCATTGATTGACCTGAGTGCCAAGGAGACGCTATATCTTGATTCTTCGGCCTTTGTTGCTCGAGAGATGTAGGGTGCTCTTTTTTGTTCTCAGAAGAAGGCGTTGCAGCTGTGTATCCATGGTTTGAGCCCAAAATAGTGAACGTATTGGTGCTCTGCTCGTAGTTTGTGGAAGTTGGCCTGAGTTTGACACTTCTGAAGTCCATTTGCTCTTCTTTTGTCTGAATTTTTTCGTTCGTCTTTTGTCTTGAACTACTCATGCTATTCGAAACTGGACTAGTTACGCTTTTCAAAGCCAGTTTTGGATCACTGTACGGCAAGGCAATGTCCTTAGATTTGTCCTCCGTTGGAGTGCTTTGAAAGAAGATACCTTGTTGATTCGTCGTAGCAAATGGAAATGATGAATCTTTCACTGCATTTACATCAATTAATGCGGTGTGATCCTTTGTCGTCATAACTAGGGCGTTACTTTGGAAACCATTCATGCCTTGATCGGTGGTATGCATAATTGGTTTAGATTCTTGGTATCTCATTTCCGTCCTCTCTCTGTAGCTTGTCGTTTCTTTGAAAGATGAGAAAGAGGTCTCATCTTTTAGCTGCGATGGGATTCCTGGTGATTCGGGGACACTGTCGCTTTGATTTATACTCTCATCGTCATGTCCCGAGAGAGCATCAAGGCACTCTACCCCAGAGTCACTCGTTGCGTACGATGGAGGAGCATTGTCTTGGTCGTCTTCTTCATTTGAGCGTTTGCTTGCAAAATCATTTTGATGATCCGGTTCTGGGATCGGAATCGTTGATCTCCACGTCTCAAAGCTCTCAAAGCGTTTGTCTTTCTGTACCATTCTCTCCCTTGCTGCAATACTGGGGTTAGAGACAGATCTTTTGATTGGCTTGCTGTATTCGGGGATTTCTTCCAGCGAGTAATGGAGAGAATTGGATCTTTTTTTCTGTACAAATGACCTTTTACGATTACCTCTCCTTCCTTTCTTGTCTGGGGTTTTTATTAAGTGTTGGGCTCCATTTTGATGTTCTTCATCGTTGTCTGAATCAGAAGTCGAATCAGAAGAGCTCTCTTTGTCCTTTACTTTTTCCTTTGAGTTTTCATGTTCAGCGCGGTGGTCTTGGACGTCGGTTTTAGTTCTCTCATTTCTTCCTTCTTTGCCTCCAGAAGATGTAATCGGCATAAATCCAATTGGTACTACAGATTTAAGGGCAGTCTCAGATGCAGACAGATTATTTGTATCCGTTGGTAATAGGAGTTCGTTTTCTGTTCTACCTCTTCTGGGGTAGGCGAACCCCATCTCTGTATCTTCACGAAGTCCGTCTTCTGTTTTGGGCTCGGGATTTTGGTCTTCAGCCTTTGCTCTTCGTGGAAATGTCCAGCCGGCTTCTGTTTCTTCACACAATCCATCTTTTTTCAATTTCTCTCGTGGTTCCTCTTCGTCTGCAAGTTCAACATCCTTGTCGTGGGCTTGCCAGGTATGGCCGTTTTGCCCATTGGCGTTTCCATCGTTATTTCTCCTTGAATACAATAAAACAGTATCAGGCAAGTATTCTTCGCTTGCATTTTATGTCATCGCCGCCATGTTGGTGCTATTTAGCAAAATATTTCTCGTTCTCGTTAGCTTCATTGGTTAATACCACCAACATGGAGGACACGTATTGTTGCAAATATCATATCATTTGTCATATTTGAATAAGATGCAAATTAGATGTTGAAGGCATAATGAACTTAAAATTCGAAGTGAAAATAAGTTCCTTTCGTTTTTAATTCACACTTCTTAAAAGTATCGTGGCTTACATGAAAATATAAAATAAATCACACTTTTTCTCGATGGAATTTGTGGCATTTTCTTTTGTATTTCCATGTTGTATAATTATATTATATATATTTATATATTTATATTATAGTTATAAGTGAGAGTAAATGCCTACCTTCGACTTTTACAGCAGCATTTATAGATAATAAACGCCATAAGCGCAAGTAAAATGATTCCTCCAGCGACGCTGACTATAATGATCCAAATTAGTTCCTCCATGTTGTCTGCTGCAAAGGTAAACATGAGAGTTTAATCAATATGAACTATACAATTCTCCCAACAAATGCTTGATAAAACACGACTGGACACCCCTTATATAAATGGCAATTTGAACTAACAGTAGTAAATATTTTGTAGATTGGAATTCTTTAGTATTGTTTGAAAATGTTTCTCGCTGTGCGGTTGTAGTGCCTAGCCTGCTGCGAAATTTAATGCGTTATATAAGTTGAAAATCTTATAAATTGGATACACTTTAGCCAAATTTAAGTCTATTGGGTTATTTCGGCTGGGGGAGAAAGGGATTTTTGGATCAAGAAATGTAAAAACTTCGAGTCTGACTCGATCACCTTAAAACATCCCACGTGACTTTCTGACAATTCCAAAACTACTGTGAATGCCGACAAATTGTTTACACAATGACTAGATTTCCCACGCTAGTTGCTGTATAGCTGTATCAATGATAATACCTTATTACGAAGATATTATCATTTGTTATTATTCACAGTATTTCTGTAGACAAAGCTAGCCACCCATGAAATGTTCTACGAAATTTTTTGATTACTTTGCATTTCTATTGAAATTATTTTTTCTCTGTAGGCATAGTTTGGTGCTTCTCACCAAATGATTATTAAGAAAAATACATCGCAAATCTTTTAAGATGTTTATAACATAAAGGAAAAATCATTTGAAGCAAGTTAGCTAAAGATTTTGCTGTCATAAATGCTAGTAAAGTTTTTCATTGTCGCTATAGGAATTCTCTTGGATTTTGGAAAACTTTGGCAAACGTTGGAAGTACCGCTCGTCTCCAAAACTACCGTTTGTTTAGATTAATTATCGCTATTTTATAACGACTACAAAAACTCTCGTTCTGTCAGATTTTTCTTACGTGAGAAAAAAGAGAATAAGAAATTATTAGTGAACAGACACAAAACGCCAAATTATCGCATTATCTGTCTTTTCCAGTGGCTTTTGAGCTCTTATATCTTCTTTTCAATCATTGCTCGGCACACATGGCGTCCCTTTTTATTTTATACATTTTTATTTTCGTCAAATAAAATTTAATCAAATTCAATTAGATTAGTTTGATAAAAGTTTTTTTTTTGATAAAATTATTTAAAATTTTAAGTATGACAAAGTGTTTCATTACGTCCGAGTCAACGTCCGCTACGTGATTAAACTTAACGCAGAAGTTCACTCGGATATATGTCATTAATGAAGACATTATTTATGGCTTTGAGATTTAGACAATACTCTGCCTTTTTACAAACAAAAGAGTCCAGGTATCTTTTGTTTACATAGACGCGAACCTTCTAGTCGTTCGACAACCTGCTTCTAATTAAAATTTGTCAAATTTCTCCCACAGTTGTAGATAGAAATTTTGACAACTTTTGGAAGAAATTTGAATTGCAACATTTAAGTCAACGACTTAAGAAATTATGCTATGGAAGAATACTTTTCTTGTGGAAATTATGCAGCTTAATTTCTATTGAATTGTGCTTACTGTAAGCTATTTTAATATTTCTAATATTTCTCTTTGATAAACAACAACAAAATTGCTCAGTAAACAAAAGTTCTTGAAATTCAACTGATATCATTTATATCTTTAATGCTAAATTCAGTGCAATTTCAAGTTTTACTTTGTATATCTGTAAAGTTTTTTATTCATTTATTTATTTTTGTAGACTTTTTAAGTCAGTATTTTTCACTTCGATATTCAATTGAAAAGATCAGTTTATATTATACTATCAGCAACAATCCAAAACAGGTAAAATATTTTTGATATTAAATTCAGTAAGTTACGATTTTGAGTTGTAAATTATTTTTAGATTATACAGTCATTGTTATTATTCATTAATATGGACTTGAAAAGTCAGCAATTTGCACTTATAACATTCAAATGACAAGCTCTTCTTCTACTCTACGAAACAATTTTTTTTTTAATTTATACTAACTCCGCTAGCCAAATCCTTAAAAATATATACCAAACAATTTCTAATAATTATCTAATTTTAATAAAATATAATGTGTTGAAGTGACGAAGTGTTTTCATTAATTCAAACGTAAAACATTCGCTCGTAGAGTTGCTGAAAAGCACACATATCTGAAAACGTTTACACTAGAAATTGTTCGTAAACTGGCTAAAATTTCCAAGATTTAAATAGCTAGCATTTGTGCAATGCGAAAGAGGTTAAGCACTTGACTCGGAGCAGAATATCCAAGTAGATTCAGTAATTTACCTTTGCTGTTCATATAATTCTATTAACGAGAATTTTTGCGTTACCTTGTGTTGAGCTTGTTTACACTTCTCTCTATTGCTATAGGCACGATGTAACTTCCAGTAATAAATGTCTTGGAGGTCTCGCGTTGCTTTTGCTCTTACTACGCTGAAATCTCTAACGTGATGAACTTTCGAGTTTGTGTGAATTTTGCGTTTCTGACGTCACAACACAGTCGGTTTTCCAAAATGCTTGATCAATCACATGGAAATCGTGTCAGAGCGTTTCCGTAGTTCGTCGTTGATTGGTGGGTTGTCGACACGGATGGCGAGATGCTGTGTGTACGTTTTGTATGTGGGCTGACATTCCTTAAATTCTTTCGCAAACTCTCACCGAATTTTAGAACCTGGAGTAATCCTTAAAGTCATGCCTTCCGAGGCAAGCTCACATATACATCACATAAGTGGTTTTCCTAGATCCTTCGAGTAAATCTTGTTTAGATTGTTGACTCAAGTAAATCTATCTTTCCCTCCTTAACACGGATATAGCAGTAAATGAACGGAACCCTCTGTATTTTCACCGAATAACAATCAAAATGGATCAAAGCTTTGAACTTGAGATTATCTTGGAAGGATCCAGAATGATACAGAAACAAGTCACGCTTCTTTGAACTATCTAAACCCATTCATTGTTAAACAGCTTTTTAACTCCGATTTACATATCTAATATTGGTCGACTTGTTCAGTGGAGCACTGTCAGACGTGCTTAAAATGATTATTTCTGACATGAAAACTTTGTAGAAAGAAAGATCCCGTAAATGCCTTAAGAGTTTGATTGTAATTCGCTGTATTTGAAGAATTCAATTTTGAGGCAATTTTTTCGCTAATGAATTCAAAATTAACGTGTTTGTTAAAATCGAATTGAATATTTTGAAAGCTTAGAATTTTGAGCTATGACAAACTTTTATTTTGTTACTTTGATTCATTCCTTTTCTACTTTATTTTTACTTTTTATCTATATATCTTTTCTTTCTTCTCTTCAGCTTTCCTTTTTTCTTTCTTTTGTCCATTTTTTTCATCCATTCATCCATCCATTCGTTCATTCATTCATCCATCCTTTCATTCATCCATCCATCCATCCATTCATTCATTAATCCATCCATCCGTTCACATTCATTCATCCATCCATTCGTTCATTCATTCATTCATTCATCCATCCATTCGTTCCTTCATACATCCATTCCTTCACTCATTCATCCATCCATCCATTCGTTCCTTCATCCATCCATTCCTTCACTCATTCATCCATCCATCCATTCGTTCATTCATCCATCCATTCGTTCATTCATTCATTCATTCATTCATAATGTTAAAACTAGTTTTCTTGACCTTGATACCTTGGTATCATTCTAAGCATAAGGTCTGTTAAGTTATTTCGGTAGCATCTTATTCAAAGTATAACGAGCTCAAGCTGTGACTAACAAGGACACCATCATCAAGATTAAAACATCCATTTTATGCTCGCTTTGTTAGCAACACCAACCCACGCTTGCTATTTAAACTAACTTAGTAAAAATATTATCGTACGAAGATACTATGATTCTACTTTTCCTCCCTTCCTCTCCCCAGTCCCCCTCCCTTCCCTTCCCTTCCCTTCCCTTCCCTTCCCTTCCCTTCCCTTCCCTTCCCTTTGGGCCGCTACGCAGGCTACACGAAACCCGGCCGACTGTGTAGCGAAGCCAACGAATGCATGACGTTCGAATCAATAACCCTTCGTCATTCCGACGTCAAGACGACTGAAACGGAAAGATAATTGCTCGTTGTATTTACTTCGACGCAGACTTGTGTTTATTTCCAGAAAAATAAGTTGTAAAGGAAACGGATGAAGATTACGATGAATTGTTTTTAGATTGTTCCAGAATTTTCTAATTGACGCCATAAAGAATTGATTTAGTGAGCTTGATTTCACACAGACTTGGCTTGTTTTTTTCCCATAATGCCTTACAAAAAATGAACCACAATGCATTGCGCTTCAAAGCAGTGCAGTGTTTCTATCACAGCTTGAAGTCTTTTACCAGCCAATGCGGAACATGCTTTATTATGGAACCGTGATTATCACGGTATTATAGTATAATATACAAATAGCCCCTTTTCTCATTCGCTAAAAACTGCTGTGTTGTATAAATGAAGACTCATCTGTTCGTTTAAAAACTAGCAACTCATTTTCAAAAGTTATTCGAATGTGCAGCTTGAAAAATACCAACTTCAATCGGACCTTCAATTGTATCTGTTAATTGCATGCTGACTTATCGTTAAACGAGGCTAAGCCTGTGCAAATGAGCCTGTGGTCTTCCAAAACAGCGGTTTGCATCGAATGCAAAACTGGTGCATTGATGTCGTGAAATCTATTCAGGCTCCTTTTATGATTACGCCTTCACGGTTTCAAAATAACACGGTTTCCTCAAACATCAAAAAGGGTCGAAAGTGATGGTTACAGGTCGCATCTCACCCACCTATTTCAGTAAACGTTGTCATCGCCAAAGGCGATAGGCGAAAAGCAATAGGAGATTTAACAAATTGATATCAGTTTTTCATGTGTCTGTCCTCTTATTAATGATGAAAATAGCCAATCAGCAAGCAAGAAATTTGTAAGTTATTGTAAAAAGGTAATTTCAAGGTCCAAGAATAGCTGTAATGACTTGTGTTTCTGCTTCTTATTCCCGTCAAGAACATGGACCATGGTGTTGAGACAATGTTCTTTGTATTCAACGAAACCATTTTCATGTCGCAATGACCTATCGCCTTTGGCGATGACAACGTTTACTGAAATAGGTGTATATGATAACCGGTATGAAGTATTTGTCTCATTCCAAAGTCGGGTCAATCATTTTAAAAATAACACGCTTTCTCCGTTTACACGAAACTTAAACCGATGGTTAAATTTTCAAAACGCTCCACATTCGACAGCATTTTCGAAAGATCACGGTTTCATTACGAATAGGCCTGAAGCGAGATGACGTTTTACCCCCGACTCTATACCATTATAGGTTTTAAAATTCTTTCATATTAAAATTTTTGATTCCTTAGAGAATACAGGAACAATAGTCATACTTAAAGAACAAAAGCAATGTGAAAAGGATTATGGTCTAGAGACGGGGGTAAAACGTCATCTCGCTTCAGGCTTATAGGTTGCTATCAATAGACGTCACTTCCGGTAATAGCTCTTTTTTGATGGCTTGTAGAATCCTGGAGGTTGTTTTGATTTCTTGTTTTCTGGTTTGATGTCGTGAAAATAGTCAAATACAATAGTTTGAGGACTTATTTTGATATGTTTTGACTTAGCATCCGCTAGTTGCCCCCCGGTCAACCGCTTGTTTGCCCCCCAGTCAACTCCAAAAAGTCACGTGATTGATAGTAAGCAATAGCGCAGCGCAGCCGTGACGTCATAAAAACGAAGACAAAGGCGAAATTCGGACAAACAAACTTACAAGTTTACTTTCAGCAGATAATTTTCACAGCCGATCGCAGTTGATCTTAGTTTAAATGGGTTATTATTATAACTTTAAGTAAAAATAATAAAATCGGTTCGTATAATCCTCGTAGCGGTTAAACAGAATGCAATGTTTGTCCAAATCTTTAAGCTATTTTTAGAATAAGCGTGCTGCGCTATACCGTAATCGATAAGTATCCTCCTCTAGTGTTGCGCGGGGACTGGTTATTAGCATCAAAAAAAGTTTCATCTTAGTAAATGAATCAATGATATGACGTAATTATGATGTACGTCTTTTTAAAATTAAAATCTACGCAACCTTTTAATGAATAAATAATTTGGAGATATTTATATCGGAAATTAAAAGCTTCAGTGCCCTTCTCAATTCATCTGAAGAATGGAATATTGTTAATTAGAACTACGCATGATTTCGTCCGCCAATAGAAATATCTTGCTTTTATTTTGATAATACAACCTAACACAATAAGTCGCGTCATCACCAATATATTCTAAGTCCAAGCATTTGGAAACTTTCGACAGATTTTGATATCATTTTGAGTTCTATACTGCACAACAAAGTCAAAATTTGTGAAGAGAACATACAATAACGATAGTTAAAGCGAACGACGTCAAGAAATACCTGGATATCCTTAGGTGTATTTGAATAACGTCTCTGGATTCAAGCGAAGCTGGTTGGAATATAAAATATACATCAATGTAAGTACGAATTGCCATTATTTGTCTTATTATTCCACTTACATGGCGTGCTAGGAAGATATTAATACATTATATCTTTCGTGTATAATTCTTTCTTGTTATTCAACCTCGAAATTGTTTTTATTTGATTCCGTTAAATGTAAAACAGAACAAATAACTTTACAAAACTATACATCTGCACTGTAGGGTGCGAGCGCTTCATTCAGAATCATGCATGCTGAACCGGCAATAACTTTTAAAACTATGAATTAATCATAATATGGTTTATTTTCGCCGATTACTGGATTTCCTGACGACTCCCTTGAGTAAAGATTATCGTAATAGTAAAATATAACTTCACCAATACTTTTAGAGTCAAAAAAGTTGGGTTTTTTGCCACTTAAAGTCATAAAGCTGCAAAAATGTTAAAATATTCCGTTTCGTAGCAAATTTCTATGCAAATCTTGTTGATCCGTCGAAACTTTTTGAATAATTTTCACTAAAAAACAGTATTTTTATATTATTCTATATTATTTTTGTGAACACAGGCATCATGCCAGTATGGTCGAGTTGTTATATCCTAATAAAAAAGATTAGAGTAATAGTCAAAACAATAGGCTATTACGAATATAGAGAAAAGTTACCTTGACGCTTGGGGCGAAATTCTTGCGGTTTCCGATTCTAGAAGTTTTAAACTAAACTAATGTAAACTTTATGGAGTTTTAAAAAAGTCTTGTACGCGAATGCTAACTTATCACTGATAAAATTTCTATTCATGAGCGGTTTTCTAGCCAAAATTTTACTAAAACACACTACAAAATAATCCAATTTACAAGTTCCTGAAAGTGCATAAAACATGAATTATAAAGAATTAATTTTTAATGCATCGTTTCAAGGTACCCACCATAGTTAGTCAAATATTTAAATAACATGTATTCTTTATAGCCGAAACAAAGCTACGTACAGTAGCGCTACTTCTTATTTTTCTTACATTTACCTGTTAGATACTTTATATCCATTTTTTCAAGGCGTTCCTAAACGTTTTTCAAAATTGTTTCTTGCGAAAATGTTTCGACAGCATTTCAATGAATGACGTACTTTGTTTGCGCTTCTTTTCTTCCTTTATTTTCACATGTCGTGTTTGTTTTTTATTCTTAAAATGAAGTGTTAAAGCGGATGCCATTCAACTGCGACATTAAAAAAGTACTATTTTAAAAAGCTATGTATTTCATTATAACAACCAAAACTCAAAGCTCCGATTCTTGTAATTTTAAAAGAAGGAACTAGATCACCGAACACAGTATCAAACTTTATTCTTTTTTTTTTAAGGATTTATTTTTTTGATGTTAAACGTGATATTCCTATCCTTCGTTTGCACGTTACGTCATCACGGGCATGTTGGTACCATTTAACAAAATATTTCTCATTAGCATCCATTTTGTAATCCATCAATTACCATGGGATGTGTAGTGTTGCATGAGTTTACGTAGTTTATTGTACGTGCTCTCCAGAATATTCGTAGTAAAAAGGTGTAATAGTAGAAAATAGTTTGGCATTGTTTGTTGTGGAGATGAAGTACATTTAAGTACGTATTGTGAAATTTACGAAATCCAGAACAATTTGGTAAGAAATTTAGTTTTTCTTCGTAGAGAAAACAAAGTATTTGTTAGTCAGGACCCTTCATAGAATAAAACTCCAGAAACCTTATAATTACTGTTAACTGTGTAATCTCCCACGATGAGCTTAGCTCTTGGAGAAAACACAGAGAGTCAATATGTTTAAATAATAATAATAAAAGAATATAAATAAAGGACTAAATGCCACAAATCAATCCAGAAAAAGTGTGTCTTCTTTTGTATTTCCATGTTATCCTCGCATTTAAGATAATTCTGCGAAGCGTCCATCGAGAAGACAAATACTATCAATAACAACAATCGACTATACAGTTTCAACTTTGTCGCCCTTTATATTATAAAACGTCTCTGAATGAAACGGCTCCACCATTTTACGTGGTTACTCCGTGCCACGGCGACGATGGTGTACTGAACCATTTGTAAATATTTTTAGAGCATAGACAGCACCTTGCTTGCTTTTTTTCTACAACGTTTTTTCACTAACAGAGTCCATAAGTAATTATACCATTAGTACTCCTTAACCAATCCCACCCTTAAGAGCAAATCACTGACAAGTCAACTGTACGTAAAGAATGTGGATCTTGAACAATACCAATGTTTTGAAATCCCACAAACTTTTTTAATGGTGTCTGTGGTTAGCTGACTTATAAATGAGACTAAAGTACCTATATTTAGCGTCGGTAGTTCCTTCAGTTGAAATTCAACTGCTATCGATGGAAGCCGACGGTGCGCACTTTACCCCCTCTCTCCATCAGTGCTCTGTTTTAAGAGTATTCAAAGCTGAAGCTACACGGATTAGAGAAAAGTCGAAAGAGACGTGGAGATCCTAAGGATCGAACCGTGGACCTCAAGCTCTAAAGGTTGCGCACTAACCAAACTGAGCTACTCCTGCTCCTGCTCCGGTTGCTAATGAATAATGTTGATAATGATGATGATGATAGTATTCAGGGGTGATGATCATAATGGTGAAGGAAGATTTTAAAGGAGGAATTAATAATGATAATAATAATGATGATAATATAATGACTATACATCACTCTGTGCCTTTTCCAATACAAATTCCAACGTTATCTCAAACACGTGACACCTTCACTTAGAAACCAACTAATCGATCTCAACAAAAAACAACAACAGAAGATTCGTGACGGAGTTAATAAGTATTTAAGACCTTCTACGTCTACGAAAGTAATAAACGTGTTGAAGCATAACACTAGTTCACCCTTATAGACGCTCCCAACTGGAAAACGTCATATACTCCACAACTCATCTATAGGTATTTTCTCACGCAGTCGGACAGAAACTACCCGAAGTAAGTATTTCATTTGTCATTTTGACTAAAGCATCTTGACTTTTCTTAACTTTTTAAGTTTAAAGATATCCTCAGTTATTTTGCTATTCTAATTTAAAAGATTTTAATGTGTGTTTTAAGAGTCGGGAAAATATGTAGGAATAATATAGATCTGTACTAGCGTGCTCCTTTAACGTTCGATTTCAAATTAATGTCGCTCGCGCGATTGGAATTTTAATTTACGTTATGATACACCGTTTCATACCGAACGACCAAAGGCGAAAAATATTTTCTGAGGGTTTCTGTGTAAGGTTTAAAGCAAAATATCAAATTCCATGACATGATATTACGTTATGCATTGTAATTAAGTGCCATTGAACCTAAGTTGTACTATGACTCACTAGACAAAGGGATTTTCAATTATTCCGATCAAAAATTAATCATCGTTTTTGTTAAGTGCTCATACATCTTGTCATGTCAAGTGAACTATTATATGATACGCCTTTTGCATTTTGGGTGATTTTGTTGAAGTTAATCTAGGTGAAGTAGTCCAACATTTATTGAAGAAAATTTGAGTAGATAGAGCGCGATTTTTTAAAAGACGAGTAAAAGACGACGAAAAACTAGCGTCCAAAACGTCAGTAAGTTTTTCATCTTTTCACGGTGTATAATTTACCCTTTTATCATTACTGTTTCATTAGAAACACCGACGCAGCTCACACTATAGTTTTTAGCTAGTTATCTCTTCTAACAAATATCGGAGGAACGTAGCGTACACCTCATACTAGCCATGCACCTCTCATTCCTAACTCATTGTAAAACGCCTTTGAACATATCTATATGAAATAAATCATTTCATAAATCATTATATATTTTTTAATACCTATATACTATTTTTTTAGTTATGATAAAAGGGTAAATTTGACACCGTGAAAAGATGAAAAAGTAAAAGTACACTGTACAGTTGTAGTACTCCGACGAAGGACTAGCGTCCGAAACGTCAGTAAGTTTTTTCATCTTTTCACGGTGTACCGTTTATTTATTTCATTTACCTTTAGTTAGTGTCCCCAATTTTCTCTTGGCTAAATCCATCGACACTCTTAATAACGTTTTTTATTAGTATCATGATGACGATGACGCGATGACGATTATTATTATTATTTCAGATAATGGCGTTCGACGACATAATCAACGAGCCCTGGTTCATCGGTACGGTTGCTGGGGTTGGTGCTTTAATCTTAATTCTTATCGTGGTCATCATAATCCTCTGCTGTTTATGGTTCAGAAAGTGAGTATCTAAGATAGGTAATTTATTAGGTCATTAATTTGCTTCTTTACGAACATTAGTCAGAGTAACTTAGTCAGCACCGTGTGTTTTATCAGTCAGGGAGTATTGATGGCTTTCACGCGGCGGCCATGTTGGAGGAACTTAACAAAAGAATTGTCAATGAATTGTTTTGTTATATCCTCCAACATGGCCGCCGTGACTTTTGTTATTTAATTCTCTTGGAAATGGTTGCTTGGCATCAATCAATTGCTTGAATCTCATTACCGGCCTACAATGACAGGCAAACACTGCCCGTCATGTGATATCAAACAGAAAGTATTCTATAGAGGCTTTGCACCTTCACGCAATAGCGCCCATACTACAGCTTGGGCTGCATGTGGTTAGATGGCAGAACAATAAAATCCCTTTGCTCTCGGGAATTGAATTCTTTCTCATGTAAAACGATTGTATTGTTCCTGCCATCCAACATGGCTGCCATCACGTGATTGAAGTATTACGCATATGCTGTATCTTAAGTGCATGCATAAATATGTTATTATGCCTTATGTTATTTATGTGGCTGCAGAAGTCTGAGTCGTTTTTAATTTTTCCACAGAAAAAAGCAATTAGATGAAAAGCGGCCGGATGGCGAACACCACGACCGAGAAAGGGATTCCGGTACCACTACGCCATCTTCATACCAGGAAATGACAGAAGCACAGAATTGGACTATGGTGCAGCAGAATGGAGTTGCCTCAGTCCCGGGCCAGGGCTTCAACCAATACAATGCGGGCTCATCTTTGGTCGGAATGAACGAAGAAATGAGACCAAATGGCGGTCCTTCATCGCGCACTTCATCGCACAAACAGACATACTACAAAACGGGGATTGGAAAAACTTTAGAACAAAATCAAAATATTGACGCTTTTGAACGAAAAATCAGCAACGCTAGCGAGTCCAGCCGAGTGGCGTATCGTGGAGGAGTCTACTCTTCTGGACACTTTGAAAGAGACAGTGACGTCAGGGAATCCGCGCGTTCAAATCAATCGTTCCAAAAACCAAGACTCGCAAATATCCAGGTCTCTCAGTCCAAGCAGTCTGAGTCCAGTGTCAATACTTCGTATCCCGCAAATAATCGTGTTTATTTGCCCGAAAGAAGTGATTCTACGCGATCAACACGAACAAGTTTTTACAAAAAGACCAATTACAACCAGCCTTACAGGATTCCGGAAGAAGATTACTCCGGCATTCAAATGTCTAGCGAAGAAGAGAGGTATTCATGGAGAGCGCCCGCGCAGACTCAAACAAGCGCAAGACAAGCCCATGAGAGTCTACATCGCTTGAGTGACGGAAAAGTGAAAAATCTCACCGAGAGATTCCAAACTACCGAAGTGAGCACGGCTGGTGAAACGGCAGTGACGTCAAGAAGTGCCATGGAAAACGAGTTGAGGGAACAAATTGCAGGACGACGCAATTATCAAAAATCAGAGGGTGTTCCAATTTCCCCTCATCGCGGCTCACGTGGATATCAGTACCCTCAAACTGATCTTGGGGACGCGTCAGCTAACTGGCAAGGAAAAAGTGGCAAGGGTACAATAGAAACTCGAGTGAAACGGATTAAAAAGGTCGGTGCTATCTCGGTATTTCCCGATTAACTATAAATACAACAATTACTTATTGCGTGGGCTTTTTGTGGCTTGCCCAGTTTTTGCGCATGCTCGAATGCGTACTCAAGATGACTAGAAATTAAAAAAAACACTATATAAGCCTTTCCGAGGTTGAGGAAAAATCTAGGTCGAGTTGCCGTTGCAGTGCATTGTGGGGCTGTTTTAGTTGACATGTTTCCAGATGGCGTCTATTTCATCCTTTAAAGACAGCACCACAAAGCACTGCAATGAAAACTTGACTCACCTTGTTTCTTAACCTCAGAACGGCCAATATGAACTCCTTGCACTAAATCCCGAAGGTCAAAACGATGACAAATATTAAAATCAAAAAAGAGTCCAACCCTCAAGAGAAAGGAAATTCTTTTGCTTTGACTTCCAGATGGTAGCCATGACAGTAGGGCACAAAAATAGAGTCATTTTTCCTTGGGAAACTAAATCGGATTACACCAGATTTCAGTTGTTTGATTCGGTTGTTTCTTGGACGATACAGCGGCCCTCTTGCAAGGAGGCAAGACAAAACAAAGATGACGGAAAATATATAAAGTTCCGTGTGTTTGTTTTCGTAAAAGTAATCGATGTGCAGTCTTAATTCGTCTTTTATTGTATTCCCTTGTGGTGAGCTGTTAATATCAATCGACGTCATCACTGTAACAAACAAGCTTTATTTGCCCCCTGGAGGCCCCATAATGCCTTGCGATCAAGATAGGCGCCGTATTGTCGAAGTAGTCCATTTCACGGCAGCCATGTTGTGGAGCATAAAAATAGAAATTTTCTCCTAGGAAATGAAATCTTGCATTATTTCTGCCTTTCATCATTGCTGACGCGAAACCCATCTATCCATCTATATGCCTTAGCAACCAATAAATTATTCAAAATTGATTAAAATCCAGCAAAAAATCGAAGAATATTATCCATTAGGCTGTAAATAGAACACATCATTCTCTTGAAGCTGGATGATTTTTTAGTTGTATCCATCTGTCTTCTCGTGCACAACCGTTAAACAAAGTGATGGTACTCTAGGGAATGACACGTGGTTTGAAATGGGAAAATTACACCATAGCTTAAGAGGTCTATCAAACAAAATAATACCGGAATATACTCGAAACATGTTTAGAAGTAATGTTTTCCCATTTTAAACCTTGTGAATAAGATTCCTAGTTTAAGTCGTTTCCAGCTTGATATATCTTTGGGAGATACACTTAGAGAAAGAAAAGAAAGTATACTCAAGGGAATGACACGTGGTTGGACTAAAACAGGAAAACTTTGCCCGGGTTAAAATAAGAAATATATATAGATCGATAATAAAGTAAAAGGTTTACATTATAAATAATTTGTTTAATAAACTTATCGTAACCCATAATCTCAGATCTCGCAGCTTTTTTTTGATATTTATTACAATTAGATTTCAGAGGGCTAAGCTGGCTTAATTAATTTTGAGTGTTGTGTGATAAGAATAAATAATGTATTGGTAGTGCGTGTGAGCGAAAAATGTCCCCAATTAGTGCGAAAGCGCTAGAACGACTAGGCACTTAAATAAAAGTGATTTTGTTTCTTTTATTTCTTTTACCTGCGTACCCCATTCTTCATGTTATTTTCATGTGTCCGGATCGTCTCCATCAATTGTTATATTTATCATTACCTCAAACCTTCAAATTTCATAAACCCTTGCAACAACTTTTGGGGTGATGAAATTCAGGGCACGTCTAACTGACAAATAAAATTTGAATTTCACTTTTGAGGTCTTAAAATTGCAGAGGGAGGAATTGAAAACCGGAGAACCTGGTGAGAAAAAACCCTCAAATCGAGGGAGAGAACCAGCAAACTCTATTTACAATATTAGATGCCGAGTCCAGGAATAAAACCTGAGACCTCAGAGGTGGCATTGCTAACATTATTATTGATAATTCATACACTTTGTAGAGAAAAATAAATAAATTTTAAATATTCGTGACATGGCTCAGTATCCGCCTCGTTTTGGCGGGGACATGAAGAGTTCCTCGTGGGTAGCCTGTGGTATTGGCAGTTCGTTTCGTGTAGGTCGTTAGAGAGTAAAATTTCAGTGCAAGAAAGGATTTCAAAAGTTTAATTTTGCTGCCTTTCTTTCCTCTCAGCATGGTATATATACATTGAATGCATTTCTGTTCACTTGCACCTCAGTTGGAAATTGCAAAACAGCTTTACAGAAGGAGAAACGTTGCAGAATTTGGACTAGTGCATGTTTTAGTACAAGTTCGCCATTTTCGTCTCGACATGTTCTGGAAAATGTACCTAAGAAACAGTCAAAACTCACTCTTGTCTCTTCAAAAAGCACCAGAATGACACGAGAAAGACGTGAAAGCCTCTCAAGGTAAGTGTTTTTAAAGAGGACTTGAAATATTTTGAGAAATTTAAACTTTTTTGTCGCGAGTTTTAATGAATGTGTTAACTTGAAGATTGGGTTACCTGTGGAGGTGCGAAGTGGTTATCGTGCCGCACGTCGGTCTGTACACGCGTTTGTTTTCCCGCCAAAAGAATTTCCACGACTCTTTGAAAAAAGTTGAGATATCATAAATGAGATTGAGGGGGAGTAGGGGGGGGGGGGCATGTAATTTTTTACCATTAACTTTACTAAATAGATAATTGCGAAATTGGTTTGTACTGGAATAAGAAAAATAGCAAAATAAAAAATAATTAGTCAAAGAAAATAAAAGTGCTAGAGACGTAGATGGCAAAAATGAAAAATGGGAAATAGGAGGAACTCTAAAATTTAATTTAGTGTTTTTGATTGAAGTTTTTTTAATCTCAAACGGCTTTATTAAATTGAGGACTGTTATGTCCGCTAAATTTGACATTGCCAAAATTATAAATTGCTGGCGAAGAAAATGAAAAATAGGCAATAAAACTGTGTTTCGAGACATCTTCATTGAGGTGTAAATAACTCATTGAAAAGCCGTTCAGTTCAGAGAGAATGAAATAAAAATAAAAAATGGCGTTACAATTTATTAATTTTGTAATTAGTGATGTTTTTAGAAGATTTTCACAGCGAGTGATGAGCTGTTGATGAAGGTTTAATTTTGGTTATCGCGGCGCGAAGGTGGTTCTCTATTCTTACTTTAATTAACAATCTCCTCTAAGAAAGAAATCATTAAGAAATTATTTATCTGAATTAATTAAGGCGTATCTCTGCAAGGGAGAGACAAAATCTTGATCCCGTTATCTTAACAGAGCAGATTTGAAAACATCTGGAAACTTTGCCTTTAACTCAAATAGAATCCGTTGAAAAAATTTTATATTTTTATGTGACATATAAAATTTATCTTATGTTAAATGGCTTGGAGAAATAAAATGTTATTTAATTGTTGAATAAAGAAAACGAGAATGTTATTAATGAGAACTTGAAGAGAAACTGCGAAGACTTATCGGCAGCCTATCCGCTTGTCATTTCGCTACATGATATACCATCCTGTCAGAATACTCCAATTCAAATTACTTTTCTTTGCTTTTATGAGGGGAAAAACCGAGTTGAATAGCAAAATGAACCCAAAAGGTTTCATCTATTGTCTTTCAACGCCGAAATTGTGTTTTTAAAATATATTTTTCAAAAGACTAAAAGACAATTGCTTCTGGTCTTGCTAATTAGTGGAATAACCTCGGGGTGTTTTCAATTTGCATGGATTTGTGGTCAGATCCGGTTGAATTATTTAAACCCATTTAAAAAGTGGGATCCCGGCCTAATCAGTACTATGCACACTATTGAATTTAATGAAATTTCATTAGATTTATGCTAATCTCCTCGAGGGATTGTGATGATAACGTGAACGGAGCCAGAGCGAAATATTAGAAACAAACTCTTTCAGTTGTAGCACCTTTACAACAGCCTGCAAAAGTCCAGAGATAGTGTATTGTCAGATCAAATTGGAAACTGAAAAATTAAACCAAACAAACCTTATTTCATCAAGGTCTTCAAGGTACACAAACTTTCATTTTAATTGAAACTATATTGCTAGATATTTAGCTTTGTCCGCTGAGGAAATATTTGCTCACAGAAATCAAACTTGTTTCTTCCAGTAACGACTTGATTACTTCACGTCATTGCAAGAGAAACTGAACTAGCTTCTCACAAGGCTTTTCATTCCAATTTCAAGAAATAGAAGGGTTAAGTTAAGACCACAAGGCTTTTGAATCGAAAGAAACACTGCAGAGGAAGCAAGAAGTGTTACGGTAAGATGTTTTCACCAATTTCTCGAAAAAATTCAATGTTTACATTCGCAGCTATTCAGTCTTTACTGCAGTCCAATAAATACAGCCGCTTTGAAATCACTTTTTTAAAAGAATAAAAATTCTTTAATAGCATTTGTTTTAGTAGTTGTGTTGATGCCAAAGACATTCGTATCCAAGACTGAAAATATTAATTAAATACAAAGAAAAAAAATAGATAGAAAAATATTGAAACTCCGACTGAACCGCGGGGAGCACCATACAGTGGCGTTTTATGTGCGCTCTGCATTTCTCGTGTGCTGAGCTTAAAATTTAATCAATAGTCTAGAAAGTGATACCGTATTTTGTCGAAAAGATTATTGATAAATACGAATTGTGCAAATTCGAGTATATTGAACTTATCTTGCCTGTCCGACCGCATACCACACAACTGCCACCAAAGTGATTGCCGAAAATGCTCTGAACACGACATTTTGTAATATTAGTTTGAGAAACATTAAAAATTCAATATCAATATTGCATCTAGTTTTTTGTGTAATTTTTGAATTAAATGAGGCTGTTTTAATTGACTGAAAATCCAAACCGGTTAGGAAAATTCCAGAATGAATCTGATATCGGTTTTTTGAAAATTAAGAGTGTTTTAGAGAGGGAAGTGTTCTGTACCGCGAGCTCGTTTTTGGGATCAGCTCGGACTTTCCTTAGTGCTAGGCCATGCCATGTTCCTAGATGGATTTTAGCGCCATTAGCTAATAAGCATTCAGTGGGGGTCTGCACTTAATTTAAAATTAACAACTCGATAATATTCCTTTTTTAAATGAAAACTTCCTTTGAAATTTTTTATATCATCTCATTTCGCAAGTAAACTTTTTGTCGGCGTCTCTAGATATGGATCGGTAATTTTGAGCAGCCGCGAATCGATGCTAAATTACTTCCTTCAAATACCAAAACATTTATCTCAAACTTTTTATTATTGCTTGTAAAGTTATCTCGTTGGACGCAATCAAAGTTTGAGTCGTATGTTGATATAATATAACTTATCTAAAATCCCTCGCGCGCGAAAAACTGTTATAAATCTGATTTCCACTTGTTTTTAATCAGTTTGGAAGCGAAATACTCTTAGCCCTCAACCGCGTTTTAAAAACACTGTTTTCAGTTTCGGCTCCATTGGCTGTCATTTTTTGATAATTTGATATTTGTGGAACTTTAATGTGTTTGGTATTTCGGGGTGCATCGGTAAAGCATCTTTAGCGATAAGTATCTTTTCAGTCCTGCGAACAGCTATATAGCTTCACCCAGGTTGCATTAAAAAGCTGTTAGGATAGAGATAAGAGTATCCGGCGATAAAAGGCAACAAATTACTAATAGCACACTTGGGACTTGAGATAGTTATTGTGTTTTGAAGCAAATCTATTATAGTATGCAAAATTACTACACTTAGAACCATGTAGAGCACGCATACGCGGGTATATGATTTTCAATACGTTTTTAAATTTAATAAATTATTATTCATTATTTAATCATTTAAAGGTGTGAGTGTTGGTAATTAATTGTTCTGCTGGTCTTGTTTGATGTATTATTGCCTCATTACCTATTTACGACCATTTGAGTCTTCACTTCGACTGCTCTGTTTTTACGACCACAAATCGGACTGCACACTGTGTATTACGACCATAACGCTTGTACGTCCGTCCATTATCATAGAAACACCTTATTTAAGTAAACCAAGGCCAAGTTGCTAGTACGACCGAAAACTGCGTATTACGACCACGGTGCTTGTACGAACGTCCATTCAACAAATCATTAGCTCATTATCAAGATCGTCTGTGAACACTTAGCGTGGGACAATCGACAATCACAACAGAGTCAGGCTCCAACTAGGTGAAAGCCCAAAGGCACATTTAGAAGTTAGAAGTTGATTTTTGCGGAGGGAGGAAAACCGGAGAACCCGGCGAAAAACCCTCGAAGCACAGGAGAGATCCAACAAACTACGATACGGAGCCCGGAATTCAAACCCGGGTTGCACACTGCAGGTGAGATACGGCGCATTAGTGGGTGCACACTAACCGTGCTTCCAATAAATCAACTTCAATATTCCAACCAGAGTGTCGATACGACCACTGAGACAGCATTCTATATTGAAGCACGAGTGATTCGGCGTCTTTTGGTTTCTAGTTTCGACAACGAACTGCTTTCTTTGGCCAATTTGATGTTGTGTAACTACAGCGTAGACAAAAATTAAATGGCTTATTATTTTCACTTTACGTTTACTTCTGTTTTTTGTTTTTTTGTTTTTTTTGTTTGTTTTTTTTTTTAACTTCTGCTCTGCTCTGCTCTGCTCTGCTCTGCTCTGCTACTGCTACTGCTACTGCTACTGCTACTGCTGGTACTGCTCTACCAAG